GGAATTATACAATTTACGTTAGGATTTTTGATAGTTTGAAAATAGTTTATTGCTATCTTTAGGAGACTATAGATATGGTAGGCAATCATATCAAAATGAAAGAAGATTGATTTAATTTAGTTTACTACCTGGGATCAAATTGGGTGTGTGAGCAAAAGGACAAAAGGTATACATATTTTGTGGCTTTGGAAATATTGGTGGATTAGTGAATCTTTAAAAATTTCTATAGGAAATAGTGCATTTAAACTTGCTATTTTCAACTGTATACTCTTTCTACACCACCTAGAACTTTGTGAATTTTGTTAAATATTAACATGGCTGAAGTACTTTACAATTATATTTACCTTTAAAAGGTTTATTTTACATTTATTTATTTTTGAGAGACAGTGACAGAGCATAAGTGGGGGAGGGGCAGAGAGAGACTGAGACACAGAATCCAAAGCAGGCTCCAAGCTGTGCACAGAGCCTGACACAGGGCTCAAACTCACAAACCGTGAGATCATGACCTGAGCTAAAGTCAGACGCCCAACTGACTGAGCCACCCAGGAGCCCCTATTTACCTTTAATTTAAAAACTGTTCACAATTGTGCTTCTGGTCTTGATTAGTGCTATTCCTCATTCATTGCATTTTTTTTTTTAATTTTTTTTTCGACGTTTTTTATTTATTTTGGGACAGAGAGAGACAGAGCATGAACGGGGGACGGGCAGAGAGAGAGGGAGACACAGAATCGGAAACAGGCTCCAGGCTCTGAGCCATCAGCCCAGAGCCCGACGCGGGGCTCGAACTCACGGACCGCGAGATTGTGACCTGGCTGAAGTCGGACGCTCAACCGACTGCGCCACCCAGGCGCCCCATTCATTGCATTTTTAAGATAGAGTTTGGTTGATGAGCCGCAGTTCCATCTTTGCTTTTCTTTAATTAGTAAGAATTATTATAATCTTAGAGAACGCTGATTGACTGACTTTTTAATGTGTCAGACACCCATCTAAGCATTTTACACATCGTATCTCATTTAAGCCTCACAGCATTATTATGAGGGAGACACTTTAATTATCCTGACTACATACATGGGGAAACTGAGGCACAGAAAGATTAAATTACTTGTCTAAATAACAGCTAGCAAGCAGTGGAGAAAACCAGGGCTTAGAGTGTTTGCGGTGTTTTAGCAAAGGTACTAATGACTCTACATTTTAAGATCATTACAGAAAAGAAAAGGCTGTTTCTCAGTTTGGGTATGGTTTAGGTGCCAGGAACTCTCTCATTGCCAATTTTGATTCTTCAGGTAGCCTTGGTAAAGTCACTGGAATTATTTTCCAGAGACTTTTGTTCATACAAATGATTTTTTAAATGTCTCTGAGCTGTCATTTGCTTTCCTAGAGAATGAGAGAAGCAATGTACTACGCACCTCTCCTTCTTGAGAATGATTTTAGATTTTTAAACTTTTTATTTGCATATAAGTTCAAACTTACAGAAAAGTTGCAAAAATAAAGATAGCATTAAAAATACCATATACCTTTTACTCAAATTCTCTTTACTGTTTACATTTTACTCTAATTCTTTCCATTTGTGTGCTTTCTCTGAATACATATGGGGAAAAAACTAAAAAGTTATTTTTTTTCCTTTTAAATCATTTAAGGGTTAGTTACATACTTTGTGGCCCTTTCTCCTTAATACCTTGATGTGTATTTCCCGCGTATAGGGATAATCTCTTTTGTGACTACATTATAGTAATAAATTTTAGTAAATTCAACATTGATTCAATACTTTAATCTATGAACAGTATTCCAATTTGTCAATTGGCCCATTAACATTATCTATAGCATTTTCCTCCTTGGGTACAGGATCTAGTCCAAGGTCAGTTACTGCATTTAGCTGTCATATTTGAGAGTAACTCTAATTATGCCAGATTTTATTTTTATCATATTCTAGAAACCATCTCCACACAGCATATAAAAATCTTAATTTAGGATGACAGCTGATGAAAATTAGACTTCTGATAGATTTTTTTTGCTATTACTTGATATTTTAGAATCCCTAATGATGATTAGGATGTAGTCATACTAATTAAAACTAGTTTTAATGAGTTAACTAGCTACCAGCAACTGTTTCTATTATATTGTATGCCTAAGCTAAAGAAAATTAGATTTTTTTAGACATTTTGAATCATAGTTGAAAATCTAACAATAGCTTAATGATATTGATCTAATTTTAAGTTTAGAAGAGACTTCTATTTTTTTGGTACTAATTAGTTTAATACAGCATTACTGAAAAATAGGAAACTCCAAGAAGGAAAATGTGATACTGTCTAGTGTCTGAAAGGAATGATTGATGCTAACAAATATAAAATATAAATTTTAAATAATCAGGATATTGTTTAAAAGGCAAGCTGTTGACTTTATCACTCCCCCTTGCTAAGACACACATTGGTGCCTGTTAAATCTGACATTTTTACTCTGATCATCAATGGCAGCTTTAAAGCGTCTGTAGTATCCCAGGACAAAGTAACAAATCAACTCCAGGAAGGGCTGTGAAACTGTATCTGCTGGCTCTTTCCTTTCCCAAAAGCCCATCCCCAGTGGCATGCCAGTAGCTTCTGGGCACTGGAGAAGTTATGACCCTGTCTTCGCTGGGGTTAGTGGCAGCCTGTTGGTCTTCTGCACCTCCCTTTCACCTTTCCCTGGGAAACTGGGGCTGAAGGCTAACAAACCCTACAGGTTCCCAGTCATTATATAAACTGCCTACCCAAAAGGCCCTTCCGCCTCCACCAAATTTGGTGACCACAGTTGAGAGCCAAGAGTCTCCTATAATCATTGTTAATAGTTATATTAAGGAGGGTTTTCACAAAAGGGACATTTAAAAAAAATTTTGTTTTTAATTTTTATTTATTTTTGAGAGAGAGACAGAGCACAAGCAGGGTAGGGGTAGAGAGAGACGGAAACACAGAATCCAAAGTTGGCTCCGGGCTCCAAGTTGTCAGCACAGAGCCCAACACAGGGCTCGAAACCACAAGCTGGGAGATCATGACCTGAGCCGAAGTTGGACGCTTAACAGATTGAGCCACCCAGGCACCCTAAAAGATCCAAACTTAAAAGGATCTTGGGTCATGGTTTTTGAAAGAAAGATCGTTATCTACTTGTTGAGCAATGTTGGCAATATTGACTGTTCTTTGCTCTTTCCCTCCCACAGACCCAGTCCTCACTTCTTTGCATCTTGCATTCCTTTGATATTTTTAATATACTTAGGCAATGAATTAGCACTCAATGGATTGAAAAATTGTATTACCTTGTTATGTATTATGTGTAAGGACCACCAATTGATGCCAGTATGGAATCTTAGGCTCTAATAGTGGGACTCGTCTGTCTTAAAGTAACCTGCAAAATATTGACACACGGTCGAGTGTCATCAATCCTGATGAACCATGCATGTGGTTGTGGAAATCCACCTCTGCCTCATTCTCACCCCGAGTCCCAAGAACTCCAACACTAATGCCTAGTTCTGTCGTTGATATTCTGATTTCTAGAATGTGCTTGTCAAATATTAGGCTATTTTCATTTTTCCTTGGGATGCACTTTGTTTTTTAAAGATCTATGATCCATTTTATTTAGATGAAGGAAGATAAAGAAAGGGTTCCCCTGCTATGGAGAAGACCATATAAATGGACAGGCAAGATGATGGTGCTTTTAGGTATGTAGTCACTCTAGTCAACGGGTTGCTGGACCTCAGATCCCTTTATGTGTCAGACTCCACTGAGGTGATTTGCAATTTACCTTGCTTTGGAGCTTCTACTGTCCTGGCTCACTCTATTTCTTAGCAAATATATCATATGCACTTTAACTCAAAAGCCCAAACGACTTCTCTAACATCAACAATTGAGACCATTGGCTTTTTAAAATTTTTTTATTTTTTCACTCATCATTTATTTACAAATACACATTATAACTTTTATATACATTGCACATTTACATGGTAGAAAAGTACAAAACTATATATTTAAATGAATTTATATTTAACTTGCCATGTTTGAAAATATAAAATTGCATCAGAAAAAAGTATTATGAAAAGCAAGAAACTTGAACTGATAAAGCTTTGATATAACTTTTAGCGACACGTTGTTTGAAAAGGAACTAATTTAAAAGGTACAGCAGAGTAGCTTACAGGAAACACCTAACAAAAGGTTGAATGTATAGCATTCCCTTCCTTCAGTCTCCGGATACCCATATCAATTTCTTTGGATTTGTAACATCTTAAAAGTACATTATTAGAATTCTAACATTTCTATCACCCCTTCTCTCCCAAATCATGACAAGAGAACTGAACTAGGAGTTTCCTCAAAGATGTATCCTCTGTACCTTCTATTTGAGTCAGTTATAATGCCTTTTGGTCAGTCAAGATTCCTTGTAAACAAAACCCGAGGGATCATGTATGTACAGAACAGGCAGCAGAGAATCCAATAAATAAAAAACATGACAGAAACTGACATGCAAGTTTGTTAAAGTGGAAAAGAGTCTAACAACAGTGAGATGAAGGGAGACAGATGAGTGAGTGAATAGTAAGGAATGGACTTAAATGGTTTACAAGGAAAAAAAAAAAAAGCTTTTACTTTACAAGCAAGAGACCTCACAATAAATAACAACTGCTCTTCCTTTCACGAATAAATTTCTTCAAAAACAAGGTGTACAGTCAACCAGACATTTTATGTATAAATTATAAAACATGACACAGTATAAATAAATGTCTACAAGTCTCAACTATGGGCCTCATCCAGTAGACCTCACAATGACTGCCTCTCCGTGTCCAATGAGTAACAAGGTGGCCTGGGAGAGAGCTCTAGGACAAACGTCCTTTATGTATAGTTTTCCCCCCAAATAAATAAGCATACACTTATTTACAGTATGGACAATATATTTTTTCTTTTCTTTTTTTTTTTTTTTTTTTTTTTTTTTTTTTTTTTTTTTTTTTTGCCCAAAGGCTATATCAACACTGAACATTGGTGGAGGGTTTACCACTCTAGAATGGAAGATATAGGAAAGCTGTAGTCCTGGTCTTCATCTTCCTCTTCCTCCTCGGTGTCTTCCGAAATGGCTAGATGGGGGAATACAGGGGAGCTGTTGTTTAAATATGGACAACAACAGCGCAGAAGCAGCTCAGTGTATGTTTTCAAAGCCCTCTGAGACAGCCATATTACAGCGTTGCATTTTTATGTGACTTGCAGTAAGATGCTTTGTTTTTGGCATCTGCTGTTATGCAATAAGTTTAAAAAACATTTTTTTTAACATTATCTATGAAGTCAAAAACTGCAGAAAGTTCTGAAGAATCAATGGCTCAGGTTTTACGGGCAGATTCCTGAAATTAGATAAAAAGCGCTCGTGTTCTAGGTATAACTGCTTTGGGTCCTTAATTCAGAGTTAGTAGAGGCAACTGCGAAAAGCAGCAGCCCATGTGTGATAATATACAGCTGTCTTTGAAAAAGAAAAAAAAAACAAAAAACTTTTGAAGCAGTTAGTTTAGATTCAAGTGTTAATAAAGCAAACGGCCAAGCACATTACTACAGCAAAAGAATTAAGGGCAAATGACTAGAGCTAGGTTTTTAGAGGCAAGCCCGTTGATGATCATTGGACAAGTCCTAACGCCGGGAAACATTCCAGGGAATTTTTCTGTGGACCACTGGATTGCTGGTGAAATTTAGCAGCTACCTAATTTAAATTTTTTTTTTAACGTTTATCTTTGAGAGACAGAGACAGAGTGTGAGCGGGGGAGGGACAGAGAGTGAGGGAGACACAGATTTGGAAGCAGGCTCCAGGCTCTGAGCTGTTAGAGCCCCATGCGGGGCTCGAACCCACGAACCCACGAGCTGTGAGATCATGACCTGAGCCAAAGTCAGTCTCTTAACCGACTGAGCCACCCAGGTGCCCCTAGCAGCTACCCAATTTAAACAGAAATGGGCTTATGTTGGAAGGTTTTCGTGCTTTTGAGGTCTCCGTTCCCTAGGGCTTGCCTGGGAAGGCCTCACATTGCGGCGAAGGTTAGAAACTGTACTTACAGTTGCAAGATCCGGAGTGCTTGACTTCCAGCAGCACACCTGAGGAACAGGCAGCCTCCTTCATGGCACACTCACTGGCGTAAGTGGCATTGTCACTGGCACAGACAGGCTCCTCGGACTTACTCTCGGGGCACAGCTCATCGCAGAGGGAACACCGGCCTCTGCCAACCTTGAAATCCCATAAACACTTTTTTCCACCAGTGCACTGGATATCTTCACAGGACTTTGCTTCTAGGATATAATACACCTGTGATGAGTAAATTGCTTTCCCTCCTCTCCCTGTTTTTCCCTTTCTTTAGTCCTCTGTCAGTAAAGACAAACATATAGCTTATGATTTACTAACAGGATAATGGAGATCTCCTGCAAAAATGCTTGATAATAAAACTGAAACTTAAACACACACGGTCCCTACACTCCCTACTAGCACACAAAAATAGTATTTTGGGGGAACAGGTTATCACAGTATCCTGGAATTAAATAAGGATTTCATTATTTCCCTCAAGTGAAATCTTTTGAAAAATAAAGAATTCCATCAGTATTAGAATCTGATAACAGATTTTCAGTAACTGTTAAGCAATTATTTCTTGCTTACAGCAAGTCTAGCACCTAAAAAATGTGTAAAATTGAGTGAATTCTAAGTTTTCCAAGACAGAAAGTTGTTTCCCATCTCTTGCTGGCATTTCAACATATATGCCAATGCTTCCAGAAGATAACTGTTTCCTTGAGGAATGCTGTGGTTACCACAGTTTACCCAAACTGGAGACTAGTTCCCCCTTCAGTGAAACTATGCATTATGGGGCAAATTTGGGCTTATTTGATTGACCTCACAGCTTTACCAGTAGAACAAGCCTTTCTGACCATGTTTCCACTTTTCCTTCCTTAATCCAGAATACCTACTGATACACTTTCCCTCATAGGCTAATCCAATCGATCTGCCCAGTAGGCAGGTAGCCTTCCTCAGGTGACAGGCACTGGAGTAGGTCACACCATCATTCCCACAGAGATACTGTTCAGAGGAGGTGGGCTCTGGGCAAATCCGGTTACACGTCACACAGTAAGCATTGTTAGTCTGGTCCACCACGCACGTGGAGCTGCCTGGACAGAAAACATCCCGACATGTCTCTGAAATAAAGAAGGAAAGAAATACACATTAATAATAGGCACTTCCTGGCTGTTCGGGAGTGAGCATTTGATATTATCAAGGAAATCATAAAAGGAAGCACCCAGCTTTTCAACAAGCACTTTGGGAACCCAGTGGTTTCAAGAGAAAATCTATGACCCTAGGCTGGTCCCGTCTGAGTTCTTAAGAAGTCTTCAGAACATTAAAAAAGTCTGCTTTGTTTTGCATCATCATCATTATTGGGCTCTTAGGGTGGACAATACCACACCCCAGGGGTCTTCCAGTGGGTCCACCTCAGGTGGAAAGCTGGAGCGGAGGGGAACCAGGGAGGACCTACTTTTACATTTGCCCTGGTACTGGACTTCCAGTTCCGGCTGCTCTTTACATCTGGCCTTGAGGAGTGCACATTCGTTGCGGTAGGTTTTCCCATCCAGCCCGCAGACTGGCCCTTTCCAGGTGATGTTGGAACAGTCTGGGGCGCAGACGCAGCGGGGTTTGTTCTTCTTGTTCATTCGGCACTTTTTCCCGGGTCCACAGTCCACATTCTCACATGTTTCTAAGGGTTGGAAAGAGGGATGGATCAAAGCCAGGGCCAGGCAGTATGCAAGTCAGCCAGGAGGGCTGTGGAGGCCTTGCAGGACCCTCCCTGTGGCCAAGAGTTCCCGCCAGAGGGGTCCAGCTCTCTCCTAGTAGTTGAGGAGGGGGTGGGGATGGGGGTCGGCACCCTATACTCAAATCTCTCTCAAAGAGTGCGAGTTGGTTGGCTCCACCACCACACTTGGCCAGTAAGTCCAGGAACCTCTGGCAACCATGTTTTGCTGGCAGTGTGTACCAGGCAAGATTCAACCCGAAAGTCTTACCGGGACTGCGGGAAGATAGAGGGAACCCACGAACGCACCCCAGCTGGGCAACGGGGAAGGTGAGGATAAGACGCCCTCTACTGAGGGCCTGGAAACTGGGGAGGAAGAGTCCTACCTTTACAGGGGATGCAGTTGGGGGCGCCCCCGTTGAAAATCATCCACTTGAAGAGCGTGTTGTCATTTACATCCTCCTCGGTCCACGAGGTGCTCAGGCGGCCGGTGCTGCAGCACTCCTCCTTGCTCAGTTCGGTCTTGTACAGGACCTGGCAGCGGCCGTTCTTCGCTTGGCGGAGCCAGCAATTCCCAGCTGCGAGGAGACAGGGGTGGGGAG